GTACTCCATGAATTATCATGGAGAGAATCTGGAGGAAGGGAGAGAGAGGGAGGAGAGGACTGGTGGAAGGAGAAGAGGGGACACAGAAGGGATTAAATATTAAAATCAAACCTGTATACATACTTTCTGTTGGGATCTTCCCTTTTAGTATATCTTGATAATTATTCTAAAAGAACAGCAACATAACAATAATTGTAATAGTTTTAATATTCACACACTTACATATAATTATAAATGGGTTACATATTTCTAACAATCTTGCAATATCTTCACAAGATGATTCACTGAATAGTTTATTAACATAACATGATTGCTTCACTCATTTTAGCCTTGAAAAGATGAGGAGATAGACAAAAGGAAAAGGAATGCTAAATTAAGACAGCTAGTCAAGCAACTTGAAATAGGACTATTACTACTATTGTTAAGCCATGGTGGGCTACCATGGAAAAAGAAACATTGCTTTTTTTGTGCATGTAGACTTTTGATTGACCTTTTCATGCATTTTTATATGCAAGACTGCTCTCACTAGTATCTCATGTACACTTAGTGATTTTTAATTTTTTTACTATGATCACTCACAGTGCTAGTGATTGTATTAACTTGAGTTTAGTTGATAGTAATCCTTGTTATATCTAATTGAAGAGGCAGACCATCATTTTTGCCAATTTAGTATCAATACAAATAATAATGAATAAACTAATGAGCTACACTTTAGAAAAACTGATCTATCTGAAGAAATAGAGAAGAAAGAATAATGTTATAAAATAACTTATTGCACTTACTATTACATATTAATATTAATATTTTCCACATCACAGGATTCTCGTTCATTTTGCTTTTAATCTACATGACAATCACATGATCCTAACTCACAACTCAAGTGTGCATCTCTGATCTGAATTAAAATTCATTACCAGCCAGTTCTTGACAGGAGAGGGTGAATGAGGTGACACGATATCAGTGAGACATCATGCCAGCATTAACATTGATTTTGATATGATATTACTATCAGCATTATGATATGATCAGAGCAATGCATTGATACTATACCAGCTATCAATACCAGTAGATTAATGTTACTAATAATAATAGTAATAATAATAGCAATCTATTATTAGTAACACTCATTCTATTTATAGTAACACATTCTATTTATAGTAACCTTGTCCTCATCTTTGACAAAAATGAAAGAAATAAAACTCCTTATTTATAAACTGAAAGAACTGAATTCTGTAGGGACGGTAATAATAATTGATAATAAATAACAATAAACTGACTAGTAATTGTTTGACTGCTTCTAGTAACTGTCCTTTAGCTAAAATTCTACCATGCCACCTTGCGATTGACCAATCAGATTGCAGTATTGGAGGTCAATTATTTTTCATATTAACCTAGCTCGTAAAAATATAAACCTATCTCGTTAAATAATTAATTGATTGGCAGTTTGGTACTCTACGCTTAGGCTCTTATTAGTCCATTTATCAAGTTTTGTTGATTCTTTACTGGCCTAGCCTGTTAGATATGTTGTATGTATGTCAACTGTGGTCTTATTATCAGCAGCTGGTAGTTGTTTTTCAAGTGTCATGGTAGAAGTTGGTTATACCATAGATACTATATACCCCTGGATATGAAACACGGCCCTACCGGATGTTCTGAGGCTTGTTTCACCGGAAATACGTCATAATATTACGTTTTCATTCAGAATAAAAATAAAACAATGATAAAAGTATTATTATTGCTAATAAAAGTGTGATTTTATGTACAATAATACAATAAAACTTGACATTTATCATGCATTATAATTGCTGAAACTTTCCTTTTCTTTTAGTATATGCAGTCTACCAATGCATGACTTTCCCATCTCTTGTCACCTAAAAATGATGATTTTGACAACACAATTGCACCAAAACTAAAAATACACTCCTTTTGAGAATAGGCCCACTACAACTACCTATTCTCAAGCTACAAAACCGTATAGAAAAAGTTCCAATTAAGTCAAGTATTACA